GGTGTCCACAGTGCTGCCAGCAGGGGGACTGCTTGAAATTCCCCCTGCTGGTGGAAAAAGTTAAAAAAAGTTAAATTAAAAAAGAAACATTTAAAATAAAGTTACAAAATTAACAAATATATAAATATCTTATATATAACGTTATACTAAGTGTATTTTTTATTAATATATTTAATTATATATATGCATACATATATTAATAAAAAATACACTTAGAGTAAAATTACACACGGATATATATAATGTATATAATAACTATATATATATATTGTATATATATTATTATTATTATAAAAATTTTATAATAATTATTTAAAAATAAATTAAAAACTGTAAAACAAAAATTACGAAATTATACGTGTATACATATATATTATTTTAATCTAACTGTATTTTGATATATATATATATATATATATATTGCGGTGATGTGGTCATGGTGATCACATGGCCCTGGAGGTCCGCAGTGGCCGGAGCTGCTGCAGGGGGACTGCTGGGATCTCCGGCAGTCCCCCCTGACTGTGATTGCCATGTATTTTGATATAAATATATATATATATATATAAATAGGTTATGGTGGGGAAAAATTGTGATTGAAAACCCCTTCCACCTGAAGTATGTGGATAGTTAATACAATGCTAAACAAAAATCTGCACACCAGTCAAGCCATAAGACTTGCTTTTCCCACAGAAATCCCAAATCAGCAGTGATGTTACAACCGCAAAGGATTCTGGGTGGGCATATGCAAATTAGTTTAACAAAGAATCACATTTTTGCCTCATTCCATTTTAAACATGGATTCCTTTTAATTTGTGTTTGCAGTATACAACTGCTTGGAACACAATTTAGGATAAGATGCAAAACCAGTGAACCACTCATGGACAGCTGTTTCGTTGTTAATGCAACTCTTCAGCATGAGGTTGGTTACTGGTTTGCTAATTGAGGCTTGGTAGTGCTTGGGAAGCAAAATCTAAATAGGTTATGGTGGGGAAAAATTGTGATTGAAAACCCCTTCCACCTGAAGTATGTGGATAGTTAATACAATGCTAAACAAAATTCACACCAGTCAAGCCATAAGACTTGCTTTCCACAGAAATCCCAAATCGCTTGAGTGATATTTTACAACATAAAGGATTCACCAAGATTGTGGCGCTATATGCAAATTAGTTTAACAAAAGATCCACATTTTTGCCTCATTTCATTTTAAACATGGATTCCTTTTTAATTTGTGTTTGTGTACAATACTTGGAACGCAATTGGGATAAGATGCAAACCAATTGAACCACTTTCATGGACAGCTGTTTGGATTGTTAGTACAGAAATACAGCAGGGTTGGTTACTGGTTTGCTAATTGAGGCTTGGTAGTGCTTGGGAAGCAAAATCTAAATAGGTTATGGTGGGGAAAAATTGTGATTGAAAAACCCTTCCACCTGAAGTATGTGGATAGTTAATACAATGCTAAACAAAAATCTGCACACCAGTCAAGCCATAAGACTTGCTTTTCCCACAGATATCCCAAATCAGCAGTGATGTTACAACCGCAAAGGATTCTGGGTGGGCATATGCAAATTAGTTTAACAAAGAATCACATTTTTGCCTCATTCCATTTTAAACATGGATTCCTTTTAATTTGTGTTTGCAGTATACAACTGCTTGGAACACAATTTGGGATAAGATGCAAAACCAGTGAACCACTCATGGACAGCTGTTTCGTTGTTAATGCAACTCTTCAGCATGAGGTTGGTTACTGGTTTGCTAATTGAGGCTTGGTAGTGCTTGGGAAGCAAAATCTAAAAAGGTTATGGTGGGGAAAAATTGTGATTGAAAACCCCTTCCACCTGAAGTATGTGGATAGTTAATACAATGCTAAACAAAAATCTGCACACCAGTCAAGCCATAAGACTTGCTTTTCCCACAGAAACCCCAAATCAGCAGTGATGTTACAACCGCAAAGGATTCTGGGTGGGCATATGCAAATTAGTTTAACAAAGAATCACATTTTTGCCTCATTCCATTTTAAACATGGATTCCTTTTAATTTGTGTTTGCAATATACAACTGCTTGGAACACAATTTGGGATAAGATGCAAAACCAGTGAACCACTCATGGACAGCTGTTTCGTTGTTAATGCAACTCTTCAGCATGAGGTTGGTTACTGGTTTGCTAATTGGGCTTGGTAGTGCTTGGGAAGCAAAAATCTAAATATAGGTTATGGTGAGGAAGAATTGTGATTGAAAACCCCTTCCACCTGGAAGTATGGCGGATAGTTAATACAGTACTTCAAACAAATCTGCACTGGTCAAGCCATAAGACTTGCTTTTCAGAATCCCAGAGTAGCAGTGATGTTACAACTAGCAAAGGATTCTGGGTGGGCATATGCAAATTAGTTTAACAAAGAATCACATTTTTGCCTCATTCCATTTTAAACATGGATTCCTTTTAATTTGTGTTTGCAGTATACAACTGCTTGGAACACAATTTAGGATAAGATGCAAAATCACAATTTTTCCCCACCATAACCTATTTAGATTTTGCTTCCCAAGCACTACCAAGCCTCAATTAGCAAACCAGTAACCAACCTCATGCTGAAGAGTTGCATTAACAACGAAACAGCTGTCCATGAGTGGTTCACTGGTTTTGCATCTTATTCCTAAATTGTGTTCCAAGCAGTTGTATACTGCAAACACAAATTAAAAGGAATCCATGTTTAAAATGGAATGAGGCAAAAATGTGATTCTTTGTTAAACTAATTTGCATATGCCCACCCAGAATCCTTTGCGGTTGTAACATCACTGCTGATTTGGGATTTCTGTGGGAAAAGCAAGTCTTATGGCTTGACTGGTGTGCAGATTTTTGTTTAGCATTGTATTAACTATCCACATACTTCAGGTGGAAGGGGTTTTCAATCACAATTTTTCCCCACCATAACCTATTTAGATTTTGCTTCCCAAGCACTACCAAGCCTCAATTAGCAAACCAGTAACCAACCTCATGCTGAAGAGTTGCATTAACAACGAAACAGCTGTCCATGAGTGGTTCACTGGTTTTGCATCTTATCCTAAATTGTGTTCCAAGCAGTTGTATACTGCAAACACAAATTAAAAGGAATCCATGTTTAAAATGGAATGAGGCAAAAATGTGATTCTTTGTTAAACTAATTTGCATATGCCCACCCAGAATCCTTTGCGGTTGTAACATCACTGCTGATTTGGGATTTCTGTGGGAAAAGCAAGTCTTATGGCTTGACTGGTGTGCAGATTTTTGTTTAGCATTGTATTAACTATCCACATACTTCAGGTGGAAGGGGTTTTCAATCACAATTTTTCCCCACCATAACCTATTTGGATTTTGCTTCCCAAGCACTACCAAGCCTCAATAGCAAACCAGTAACCAACCTCATGCTGAAGAGTTGCATTAACAACGAAACAGCTGTCCATGAGTGGTTCACTGGTTTTGCATCTTATCCTAAATTGTGTTCCAAGCAGTTGTATACTGCAAACACAAATTAAAAGGAATCCATGTTTAAAATGGAATGAGGCAAAAATGTGATTCTTTGTTAAACTAATTTGCATATGCCCACCCAGAATCCTTTGCGGTTGTAACATCACTGCTGATTTGGGATTTCTGTGGGAAAAGCAAGTCTTATGGCTTGACTGGTGTGCAGATTTTTGTTTAGCATTGTATTAACTATCCACATACTTCAGGTGGAAGGGGTTTTCAATCACAATTTTTCCCCACCATAACCTATTTAGATTTTGCTTCCCAAGCACTACCAAGCCTCAATTAGCAAACCAGTAACCAACCTCATGCTGAAGAGTTGCATTAACAACGAAACAGCTGTCCATGAGTGGTTCACTGGTTTTGCATCTTATCCTAAATTGTGTTCCAAGCAGTTGTATACTGCAAACACAAATTAAAAGGAATCCATGTTTAAAATGGAATGAGGCAAAAATGTGATTCTTTGTTAAACTAATTTGCATATGCCCACCCAGAATCCTTTGCGGTTGTAACATCACTGCTGATTTGGGATTTCTGTGGGAAAAGCAAGTCTTATGGCTTGACTGGTGTGCAGATTTTTGCTTAGCATTGTATTAACTATCCACATACTTCAGGTGGAAGGGGTTTTCAATCACAATTTTTCCCCACCATAACCTATTTAGATTTTGCTATATATATATATGTATATAAAAAACATATATTTTATTGTATAATATATTATAAAATAATTAAAACATTTTATAATATATTTTATATATATATTGCATATATCTCAAAATACACTTATAATGAAATCATATGTATTATGTATGTAAACTATATTATACATATATAAGAAACACAAGTGTGCGCGTGTGTGTGTGTGTGTATATATATATATATATATATATATATATATATATATATATATATATATATATATATATATATATATATAATATATATATGTGTGTGTATATATATATATATATGTATGTATATATATATATATATATATTCTAGAATTAGTGCATAGAAAGTGTTAAAATACCACCATTTGAAATACCTTAGGGTGTCTACATTTCAAAAATATATGGTTTGATAGGCGTAAATTACATTTGCCGGCTTAAAAAAATGTCCCAAATAGGACACGGGTGCATGATGACCAGCTGTGAAAATTCCAAGTTGGAAAACTGGAATGCGCACCCTCCAAATACGGTCTTTTAGCCCCCATAGAACCCGACACACCTGTACATGGGTAGCATCTCTGTACTGAGGGGATGTTGCTGAACACATATTGGGGTGTTCTTTGGCAGTAACCCTTAAAGTTCTCAGTACATGGGGGCGGGGCCTGACCGCCATGCTGACCGGTCGCAGGCCGGAGAGGCTCCTGATCAATCAGGTCCAATATGGCTAAAAACTTAAGCAACACAACAAACTAAGTGACCTGAAAGCTATATCAAGCAGCCGGGCAGAAGCTGGGGCCACCGCAGATCCTGAGATCGGGAGTGCCAGAGCCCTCTGCGGGTGATACGGGACTTCGGGGTTTGCGGCCTATGAGGGTGGAGAACGGGACGGACGGCCGCTGTCCTGTTTGCGAACCTGGCCGCCACGCAACAGCCTTGTGATGCACCTCACAGGCCTCGCCTCCCCCCCCATGGACCGGGGGGGTCATCCCGGTCCCCACCGGAGGGAATCATCGCCCTACAGAGCCCAGCACCGAACCTACCTGGAGGCGCGCACCACGAGCCGGGCCTCTAAAATGGCGGCACTGCAATCTGCACTACACCACAAACCTTGCATGCCTGCAGACGAAAACAACCCGCCGAACCATACCCTTACTAAATAAGCCTGATC